TTCGGTTTGAATGGCGGGGCAGCCGTTGTACTGTTAGACCTTAAAACTCTTGTCTCAAAGCGAGTGGCGGAATTTACGATGTAGATGTCTATGAGCTCCAGTAACCACCAGGTGAGACGTGAGCTCGTCCATACATATAAGTAATAAAAAAAATATATATAGTTCAATATTTTCAAAGGCGTTAGACGCAGCAACCAAAGAACAAGCCAATGAACAGCCGGTGATACAGAAAGAAGAAGATGAAGGCGAAGAACTGAAGGAAGATGAACAAGTTCCTATGGAAGTTGACGATGAAGAATTACAGGTATATGATTTAATAAACATTTTTGTGACGTCACGTGTTTTACGTCACTGATGTTTTTGTGACGTCTAAAAGCCCTTTAAATGAAGCCTAGAATCAAAAATTACTGTGTTTTATTTTTCGAGTTTTGTTATGTAAATGACATCAATAAGACATGAAATTTTCATACAATCATACAAAAAAACGATAGTGATGTTTTTTTGTTATGCTATTTCGTAAAGTTCTAAGCTGCTAATTGTGCTATTAAATAAAAAAATAAAAAAATTAAAACTTAATTATGTCTTTCAAACAGGTTGAGAAATCGAAAGAACTTAAACCGGAAAAGATGGGAGAAAGTGCTGAAAAAGACAAAGATAAATCTGGCAACAAAAATGAAGCCGGAGAGGAGCCCACTGGCGAAACCGGTATGGAAGTGGAAGGAGAAAAAATTGATACCTCTAGTGTTGCCAGAGGAACTGACACTACTTATCATACACGGTACGAATTGTCTTTATAATGTTTTTTTTTTAATGGACATACGAGCTTTTGTGTCATCATTTGTTAAATAGTTTTCAATTCAAGTACATTTTAGATGGTAATTATGTATTATGACTGTAAAAACCAAATATTCAACTTGCACTTAAGGACTTTTTGGCGGGAACGCGAGGAGTGAAGTTGTGCGATTTGTTTTATTTTGTCTATTTAGTGTTTCTTCAGGTTTAAATGTGTAAACACGGTGGTTTATTAACTGTTTCGTATCTGTGAAAGTGCACAAATGTGGGAAAATGAAACAAAGCCGCTGAACGTAGCTTCTCGGGATCCTCCAAAAAGTCCACTGAAATAGTCTCAATAAATGAACACTGAGATTATACTGAGATTATATTTCATCCCATATCATCTCATCTCATTTAATTTAATTTCATGCCAATTGATTAAGTTTCCTTCGTTTTTTATTATTCATCAAGTGTAAATAATTAAACCGGCGAATCATAAAAATCTTATTACTTGACGCTGGATAATGCACAAACTGTGTCGGAGTCAAAAATTATAAAGAAAAAGAAGAACTTGCCTATAACACTTCGAATACAGCCTCACTTAAGTCGGTTGACGGTTAATCCATATAATGAAGTCAAGGCCGGGATATTGGTAGAGCTTAAAGTAGTAAAGTATTGTTTGTTCTTCATTTAAGGAGCATTCATTGCAATTTGGTGAACTTATTTTCATTCGGTAAAGCAGTCATGAGCGTTAAATTTGCAATGGCCAAATCTCAGTCTACAAATTTGTGTGTAGAATTTCTTTTTACAGAAAGATTTGCTCCTAGCGAACCAGGGCTTAATACCTATTTCATTATTTATTTCATCATACCATTTACCTTTGTTTTGATTTATAAGCTGCCTGTCTTCGAGCCAATTTTTATTAATTTGTTGACGAACATCAGGTCTTGCCATGGAATTGAATAGAGCTTAAAGCAAATATTTTCGTCTACAGATTGGAGCAAGAGGACGTCCAACCGGAGGAGATGACGATCGAGCAGTACATGAGTATACGGGAGTGGCTGGCGTGCGGTAGGGCGGGGGGTGCGGGGGGCGCGGCGGCGTGGCGCGCGCTGTGGCGGGACTCGGCCGCGTCCGCGCGCGCTCTCTGCGAACGGCTGCGTCTGGTGCTAGAACCCACTGGACGGTCGCGACGAGCGGGTAAACTATACACACTTTTTTTCTTTATGGCAATATTTATTTATTTATTTCGCACACAATACACATCAAAAGCTAAAAATATGCATAAAAAATAACAAGTAAAAAGAAACAAAATCTGGCTTGCAAAATAAGCCAACTGCACACGACTAAGCAAAACAAACTGTTGAATTTGTACACAATGGTCCTTACAACTATACGACAAAACAACACGATAACGAAAACTAATCTAACTTATAAATACTGTGTGACGCGATATGACTCTTCCAGCATCTCGGTGTGACTATATCAGTATTAGATTGAAATATTTTTTCAACTTTCAGGCGATTTTCGGACTGGTCGTGCCATTAACATGCGTCGAATTATTCCGTACATCGCGTCACACTTCCGCAAGGATCGCATCTGGCTGCGGAGAACTAAGCCGGCGAAACGAGAGTACAAGATCGCTATAGCCGTCGACGATTCCAGTTCTATGTCCGATAACAGGAGCAAAGAGTTGGCCTTCGAGAGTTTAGCGCTCGTATCTCAGGTGAATAAGAGTCATTTTAATTTTTATAATACAGTTAACCCTCAGCCCATATACATCTACAACGTAAATGCCGCCAACCACCTTGAGATATGAGTTCTAAGGTGTCAATATAGTTGCAACGGTTGCCCCACTCTTCTAACCGAAACGCATTACTGCTTCACGGCAGAAATAGGCGGGGTGGTGGCGTGTGGACTCACAAGAGGTCCTACCGCCAGTAATATGTATATTGCACATTGTTAAAAATACCGCCACTATACGGAAAATTGTGTTTGTAATAGTGGATAAATACCGGTATAGGTAGATACCGTGGATAGTTATATACCGCCTCTCAGCGCGAAAAGTATAACTCTGATATTTTCTTTTTTATTAATTTTGGTGCAAAACTATTGACGACACGACTGTTTGATGAAACTTTAAGTGCTTCAAATTAAAAAAAAGAAATTTTTTAATAGGGTCAGTCTTATCAATGTGCGAATATACAGCTTGTTGTGATATTTGAGCAAGCGGTACCAATCAATGATCTTATAACGGGTGTTTTGATAAATACAGCAATAATACATTTTTATTTTTATTTCCAGGCTTTAAATCTACTGGAATCAGGTGATTTAGCCGTTTTGAGTTTCGGCGAGAAACCGAACCTCTTGCACCCGTTCACCGAACAATTCTCAGAACATTCCGGTTCGAAGATTCTCGAACAGTTACGTTTCGAACAGAATAAAACTAAGATAGCTCAACTCCTGGACTATTGCACGGTTTTATTCGAAGAACAGAGCGTGAAGAGTGATGCCCTGAACGCTAAATTGTTAGTTATAGTAAGCGACGGTAGAGGAATATTCTCTGAAGGTGAAACGAAGGTACTTCAAGCGGTCAGAAGGGCGAAACAGCAAGGGATATTCTTAGTTTACGTCATCATCGACAACCCTCATAATAAGGTGAGATTTCTCAAATCTATACGAATGTTTCGTCTGTAATAACATGTTCTGTTCAAATCCTCCAGTTTTTCCAAGTAAATAACTACCTCACTTGTGTGATGCAATGTAAGGTATAATTATTTTATTATTACTGGTGGTAGCGGTTACCGGTAGGTACCACCGTCTGGTCTATTTCTGCCGCCAAGAGAAGTCATGCATTCTGGTTTGTATAGTAAGACAATTATACAATCGACACATCGACCTGTATTGACGGTAGGTGGTAACGGTACTTATCCCACCGCGACGCAAAGCCGCCGTCGCCCGAAACATGTCTTGTCCGACCCCCCGGATTCACTCTCTCACAAAAAAAAATCATCAAAATCGATTCACCCAGTCGAAAGTTATGAGGTAACATATACAAAAAAATATAGTCGAAAAAAAAACGTACAGTCGAATTGAGAACCTCCTCCTTTTTGGAGTCGGGTAAAAGAGGTAACCGTATTCAAGTTTTGAGGTCATTTGATATTGGACTTTCGGGGGCTAATTGAAAGTAATTTGTTCCAGGACTCGATAATGGACATCAGACGACCGATACTAGACCCCGCTACGAACAGCCTGTTGAGATTCGAGTCGTATTTAGACTCGTTCCCGTTCCCGTTCTATCTAATATTGCGGGATATGTCCGCATTACCAACTGTACTGGGAGACGCACTGCGGCAATGGTTCGAACTGGCCGCTAATGTTAGCTAAATAAGGAGAAAAAAAAACATTTAGACCGTTTTGTTTCTCTTTCCAAAATAGTACCAGTGTAAGCGGTAGGTAGCGGCTTGGCTCTACCCTTGGCATTGCTGAAGTCCATGGGCGACGGTAAGCACTCACCATCAGGTGGGCCGTGTGCTCGTCTGCCTACAAGGACAATAAAAAAAACAAAATATAAATTTAATTTTTTTTTAGATCGAATGTCAGTTTCTCGTTTTGTTTTTCTTTTTTGCCTAATTGTAAAATGATATTTGTGTATTGTTGTAGCGTATGAAGTGTAACATATTGTGTTATTGACAATAACTATACGGAGTAAGTTAGGAGTTTATAGTTTTAAGAATATAAAAATTATTTTTATATACTTAATGAAACAAATACGGGGATTATCATGTTAGAGAAACTTACTAATAGTTAATAATGTTAAATAAGTATGGATTATGATTTGTTTAAAACACATCTTTTATAATATATAATATATTAAATCCTTTTGCATGTGTTTTTGTTATTGAACTCCTAAACAACCGGAGTTTGTGAATCTTCGTGTTTTGGATCCTTGGATGGTTTAAATTTCCAATTGGGTTGAGGATGCTACCGTCAAATTCTAAAACTGCTTTTATTTTTTGAGCGGGACAAAGACAAAAATTATAATTTTTTTTTGTATAATTCTTAAGCTCTCATCAATTGAGTACATGTTCTTAAGCCGTTACAGCCTTTTAGACACCAAGACTGAATCGTTTTGAGAGCACAGTATCGAAGCGTTAAATTGGAACAATGGTCATCATAAGAGTCCGCGAACAATTGGATATTGGACATAAAATAAAAATGCGATATTCTAAAAAATAGTTGTATATTTTTGTCAACTGAAAAATTAAACAATATCTTAACATATTACGCTTAGTTCTAATTCTGGAATTAACAAAAACAATGCACGCATTGGTTACTCATGTTTAGGCCTAGTTTACATAATAGGTCGTTAATAAATAAAAAGTGACTTTCAATCTAACATTTCGTTAACTTATATTTTTTTATATAAAACATAATATTGTTTCATTATGAAACTAAATACGACTTAACGTTATTCAATGCACCTCTTATAAACTAATTTCTAATATACAAAAAACAGTGCTAGAGAATACGTTGAAATGAAAATGTTTACTTTTAAAATGTGATGCTCTAATTACAAGACTCGGAAAGTAAAATTTTCAAATAAACGTTATCTCGATATAAACACTTCAAATATATAGCAAAATAGAAAACTATAAGTGTTTTACTAATTACAATAATATATATTCCACGTGTAAATTATTAAATATGTATCTAAAATAACATTGCTTATTAATTAATTTTAACTAAACACTTTTAAAACATCCGTTAAAACCACCGTAATGTTGTAAGCAAAAACAATAAATATTTTTTATCAATAATTAATTAACAAACGAAACGTCCTGATTTGGCTGATTCACCTTAATTTGTTGACTTGCGAAAATCGTTTTTTCCAGAAAAGCCTTTTTATTGTTGCCCTTGTAGGCAGACGAGCATACGGCCCACCTGATGGTGAGTGGCTACCGTCGTCCATGAATTTCAGCAATGCCAGGGGCAGAGCCAAGCCGCTGCCTACCGAAAGCCTTAATGGAACACGTTGTACACATGCATGGGTACAATTTACCTCTCTTTTACCAAGACTGGCATGGATTTACAGTGAAATTGGGTGCAATGACGATTATTTATATAGACATGTTTCGAGCTATACTGCTGGCTATTCGGAGATACAGTATATCGCATTCCTTCGCGAGTGACCCTTTGAAGTTAATTGCGCCTTTTTACATACCATCATCCCAGCTAGCCGCTTAATAATCGAGTATATAGTATGGTATAAAATAGTGTATTGGCGAAGTAGTGCAGTCAATTTCATTAATTGGTATTTATTGCATGCTGTGTTTACTTATAATCTGAAGTTATGTAAATAACACAAATACCACAGAAAACCATAGGCTTTTGATATATAAACATATGCCAGATATTTGCGTCACGCGTATCTTCGTAAAAATAGTTGATACGAAAATACTTGACTTTACTGTCACCATAAAACATATTGAGTTACCATCTTGGCAGCGATCTTCACGCTAGTCACTTGATCAATGCGAATTAACACTATATGTTAACATTTGAACCGACTTCAAACAAAGCAAATCATTTAATGATATTAAAAAAAGATCTAATCGAAAAACTATTCATAACAATTTCAGACGAGAATTCTTTCAACTTTAACTGTAACTATCTAATGTATAAATTTAAGAAGGCCATATTTGGTGGAGTACTGGTCAATTTTAACAGCACACTTTTCTTTAAATACCTATTTTCAAAGGACGCAACTCATATACAGGGTGTGTTCGAAACCTTTACCGAATTCGGTTTGCATTATAGTTTTGTTGAATTCTGATACATTCAAAAAATTGAAATTTGTTCGAAATGCACAAAATTTTTTTTGAATTTAAACAGTCTTTTACTCGAACTCGGAAGTTAGGGGGTTGGGTTTGCTTTCTATAAAAATCAGTTTAATACTCATTCGTTTGTAGTTTTCTTAGGGACTTGACCCCTTAAGTCTATTAATTTATTTTTTATTCTGTATGGTAGCCTATCTATAATACATTAGGACCATAATAATAATATTATGTATTTTGAATTGTTTAATATGAATCCGAAATTCAAGTCAATTATTGTTTTTGTAATGCACGCAATGTACCCACACAAACCAGTACTATAATTCGTTTTAATACTTTACAAAATTTGAGTTAGCATATTTATTGTGAGCCCACAGTGGCAGGTACCACAATCCTATATGTCAACACCGCTAAGTAGTTATGATCAAGATAAGATAACACCTACTACATCAGTGGTATGATTCACCTTTATTTTTTTGTTGCTTAGATGGGTGAACAAGAGCTCTAAGTGTTAAGGGGTTAAGCCAATATGCAGCAACTCAACAACAGTTTGTTTCTATTCAAATAAATATTGTTTTAGGTTCTATATTATCTTTTCTTATTTCGATATCGTTCCTTTAACACTTCAGAAAGATCATTTCCATCTCAATGATAAATTTAACTAAAATTATCTAAAATTGAAAACAAATTACACAAATTGAATTTTGTCATTTGAAATTTTAAAAAAAAATATATACTAATACAATATTCCCTCAGTTCATATAAATGAATGCAGCAGGATAATTTACAGGCAAACGCAGTTTGTTTGTATGACGATAAGTATTAACTACGGTTAGGTATATTAAATTAGTCATTTATACATTTACATACATATTTATCCAAAAAATTTAAAAACGTGAATAATCATTTTAAAATTAATCAAAGTAATTTCGTCTTATTATTCTTAATAACATTGAAAACATTTAAATTTACCTGTATGTATATTATGGACAGCGTTGGACAGTTTCTCAACAATTACTTTGCGGCTTCCTTGGACGAATGATTGTTGGTCTCTTCAGTCTTTTCGCTGTCACCGTAGAACTTTGGCTGTAACGAGAATAAAATTACGTTATAGCTTAATGATTATAATGTGATATTTTGCTAGTAATGATGCTGTATTCTTTACTTTTGTCACCAAGCAATCATGGATTACTGTTTCAAAGATAGGACAATATAGTGCCAATGCGGTGTAGACGAATCTCATGTTCTATGGTGAGTAGGGATATTCACTTTATTGGGTCTGTTTGCTCCAGAAAAGGTTAAACACCCAGGGTTGCCTTAGCTTTAAAAATAGTATGGTGTAAATTATATGCTTAATGGTATTCTATTAGTTTTCACTTGCTACCGTATCAATCTTCTAAATAAAAGCTAATGACTGCTTTTCAATTCCCTTGTTTGATCTTATTACATTACATACAAATACTAGCTGTGTTACATAATGAATAATTACAATGTAACAAATTTTAAGCGACCAATTAAAAAACAAGAATAGAGTAAATTATATTAAGATTTCAAGGGTTAAATCGTTATGATAATGAGCATTTTTTACAAACCAAAAAATATGAATCAACGCACAAAAAAAACCCAACACAAAATGAAATGGGACGAAAACATGAAATATTACAGAAAAAAATCTACTTTATGTTACTGTATAAATCAAAGCAAAACAAACTTATTACACGTCGATAATTTAATTCAACAGGAAGGTCTTGTCAATAGGATCCGTTCAAATTTAACAAAAAAAAAACAACCAAGCTTATCACCTCTGAAAGAAAAATGTTTTTTAATTTAAAAAAAAAACCATGCTTGTGGAAATATTGGTTTACACGTTTGCTTTATAAATGCGTTCTGTTCATTACAGATCTATATTTGACAGCTGTCACACAAACAGACCGCCAGGGATGTGCCTGTCTTGTTTATTATTATTTCGGCTATTCACCAATAAGGTAAGTGATAATGTTGAACAAACACAAAGTTTAAAGCATGATTGTTCTCACAATAGCATTCGACTTACACAGCATTATTTTGTACTATACTGTTGTGACTTTATTTCCCAATCCGTTTTTCACACCATTATAACTCGTGAATCCCTAGAAGGTAATTGAAGAAATATTTTACAGACACATAACAGTACTGGGAAACGTTTAATTAACAAAAAACAAAAAACTTATTCTTGTCTTCTTCAGTGACTATAAAGGAAGAACTAGGGATAATTGTAGATGAGATTTCAACTAATGTAGGATAAGAATTTTTATGGCTTATTAACAATTTAATTGACACATAAAAAGAGAAACATTTAGCATTTGAAATCATACACAATCGCTGCAAAGAAGCTTACTCTTGAAGTCAATATGAATTCCAAAACTATACAAACACTAGCCACACATAACACCGTACCCTGATCTCGTTATAAAATATCACCTCATTCTCTTAGATTTTCCTAAAACTCCGTTTGGATATTTTTATTATGTCTATTCGTTCCGTAAATAGACAGACCAACGCGTACCTAAAAGAATCATACAATGTTAAATGATTGGCATACATACATTTGGTGTAGTATAAACAGAAGAATATTTTTTACATACATTTTAATACTTTATGTGCATTTTCTAATCTATGTACGTTGTAATCAAATATATACTATAAAATGTTGCTTCTAATACAAAAGTATTAAAAAAAATTGTAATTTTTATCTTACATTACAATATATAATATTTTCAAACAGCTCAATACTACTCGTATAATAGTTAATACTTTTTCATTTAGAATCATCAACAGTTATAATTCTAGTAATTAATTACATGAATATAAATAACCTAAACTACTTACACTACAGTAATTACAAATAGCCACCTCACTTGTACTCTAAACGAGGTTAAATATGACCTGATAAATTATTACATAAAACAATTTTTGAAACTGATTGGTTAATTGTGAAAATATGATCAAATTGTGGATATTACTAACAAGCTGGCATAAAGGTGTTCATTTGGGAATTAAAATTGGTTTCAAGAGTAAGCGCTTTTTTTAATGTACTTTCAAAACATACCTCGTCGTGTTTCTCTTCGGCATTGATATCATCGTCATCACTGTCTTCGTCGCCCGAGGAGTCCCCTCCGGAACCGGCCGTATCGGTTTTAACTGTAACGATTGCGATTCGATGATTAGCTCTGATGGTCTTTGATATATATTATTATTTCTTTTTTTTATTGCTCTTGAGATGAGCACACGGCCCACCTTACGATGAGTGGTTACCATCGGCCATGGACTTCAGTAAAACCAGGGGCAGAACCAAGCCGCTGCCTACAGTTAAGTACTCTCCACAAGCCCCGTTTCAAGAAGGATATGTCATAGTGCTCAGGAAACACCGTGGAGGGGAGCTCATTCCAAAGCCGGATGGTAGGTGGCAAAAAAGGTCTCTGGAAACGCACCGTGGATGAACACAGTGACTCCAGGTAGTATGGATGAACTTTACTCCGGTGGCGGGTGGTGGATGGTAAAAATGAGATGATGGGATCATCTCAACAATTCCTCAGAGCACTCCTCATGGAACATACGGTACAAAATACAGAGGGAACCGAAATCCTTCCGCAGACCCAGAGGTTCCAAACCATCCGTGAGAATGGGACTATCGACAATCCAAACGGCCCTCTTCTGTATGGAGTCAAATGAAAGTAGCTGGTATTTGGGAGCCCCGACCCAGAGGTAGGATTAGTACTCCACGCGAGGCCGGACTTGTACTTTATAAAGCAAAAGTCTTGTCCAGGCGTGAAGTGCCGCTTTGCTCTTTTGAAGACTCCTAGTATTTCGGACGCCAACTTGGCTTTGCCTCCAAACGATTCCGAAATTAGACATCGCGTAATTACAATTCTTATTTTAAATTAAATGCGGAATAAATCTCGGGAGGTTAGATCCGTTTCGAAATCACTCAGTTCAAACAAATAAAACTCTTACTATAGTTTAATTTTTCTGGTATCAGATTGCTTTTTCTCATGTCAGTTACTAAAAATTTTTTTTTTTTTTTAAAATAAAGAACGAGTCCTTATCAATGACTAATCTAATTTTAGTAAGGATTGTTTAGGGAACAAGCGCCACTATCGTGTTAAAAAAAAACACGTATGATAAGCACGCTGCTATCTCTACATTATATCTTATACAAATAAATGCTATCAAAATTTATATGTCCATGGCCCTTCTTGTAGAAAAAATACTAACGTCAATTTGTAACTGCCATCAAAATTAGATGTTCAATTTATTTGGTAATAAAAAAAAACTCATTGTCTACTTGAGGTTATGTGGTTATACAGAGCCTTTAGATACTACAATGTAAACACCGTCGTCTATGTAGAAGTTTTGATTGTATTACACCAGTGGTACTACTCGTCTTACGGTAGTATGGTTAGCCCGTTTCTACAGGAAAAATGTGTTCCTACCAGAATTTGCCCAACCAGTACTTAGGGGGCAGGTACGGATCGAAAGCAGTTCTGTTATTTGTGAAAGTGGGCAGCGCATTCATATTGTGCCACAGAATACAATAATCGTTCAGTATAAATTAGCGACACGATAACGTACGATAACGATTTATTACGGATATTTATGGTGGCTTTTAGTGCCAACTTGAAGACCAAGGGGCTTGAAATCGAACTCACATTTACAGTTAAAGCAGTAGATTTACGCGTGATTAGCATCACCGGCATTTACTCAATCAGTAAGTATATACAGTCGGCATCAATGCGCCACTTAACTAACTACCCGATGGATGGATATGGACCGAATGGTAAACAGTCGACGTCGCCCTAAACACGTCATTACGGATCATCCCGATACATTAACGGTGCTTTTAGGTACCTCAAGAACCGATCACCGTCCTCGCCGAGCCCGTCGCTTGCGACGAATAGCTCGACGAGTAACCTAACCCATCGACACGGCCCACCGAGTTTCTCGCCGGATCTTCTCAGTGGGTCGCGTTTCCGATTCGGCAGTAGATTTTGCGAAGCACGGCTTTTGCTAGGACCAGTGTAGCAACACCTTCGGTTTGAGCCCCAAGAGCTCACCTACCGGCGTTAAACGCAAACAGGCAAGCGGACAGATTGGCCTGACAAAAATCATTAATCTTAAATCAGCCTAATTAATTTACACATCATTTTATTTCGTTTTCTACCTAAGCTGAGTCTTGAGAGGCTATTTAAGCGTAACCGTAACTAGTAGGTGAGCTCACCGGGCTCAAACCTGACGACGTTGCTAACACGAACCCTAGCAAGAGCAGTGCTTCGCAGAATCTACCACCGGATCGGAAACGCGACCCACTGAGACTCGGTGGGCTGTGTCTATAGGTTAATTCGCCCGTCGAGCCCTTCTTCGCAAGCGACAGGTTCAACGAGAACTCTGATCGGTGCATGAGGTACCTTAAAGCACCGTTAGTGGATCGGGAGGATCCGAAATGACGTGTTTCGGGCGACGTCGACTGCTTTCCATTCTGTCCGCAGGATCGGGAATGTAGTTACCGGCGGCCACGATGAGAGGATTCTCGTGTCGTCCCGCTTTGTCGAAGTGGCAACACATCTAAGAATCTATTCGAAATTACGGGCTTTAGGTGCGTTTTAACCTCTTGTTAGACACACAGCTCAATACAGCAACACAATTTTGATTTCAAGTCCCATGCAAAGTTTATTAGCTTGGATGAGCACTAACCGGGCGTGGTGTTGGCCGAGGTCTGCTGCTGGTTGGGGGGTCGGACGCGTTCCCTGCTGAGCTCGTCGTAGCACTGCAGGCACACGCGCAGCGGCTTGTCGCTCTGGCCGCGCAGGATGTACCGCTTCGACGAGCACGGACCGCACACCACGGACCCGCACTTGCGGCAATGATGCTGTTGACAGAGACATTATACACTTTTTGTAAAATACAATTAATGTACAAAATATTGTGGCGCCACCAATTTTTTTTTTTTGGAGAAACGGCAACGGTCTATTTTACGTACTTGTGGGCGACCTGAATAAGTTTATTTTAATTAGGAAGCTGCTTGTTTGCCATTAGTACAAAATGAGTGTAGTGTAATAAGAATGCATTCGTATCTAACGATGCAACGGCGTTCGAATCCCGCAGGCGGGTACCGATTTTTCTAATGAAATACGTACTCAGCAAATGTCCACGATTGACTTCCACGGTGAAGAAATAACACCGTGTAATAAAAATCAAACCCGCAAAATTATAATTTGCGTAATTATTGGTGGTAGGACCTCTTGTGGGTCCGCGCGGGTAGGTACCACCACCCTGCCTGTTTCTGCCGTGAAGCAGTAATGCGTTTCGGTTTGAAGGGTGGAGCAGCCGTTGTAACTATATTTGCGACCTTAGAACTTATATCTCAAGGTGGGTGGCGCATTTACGTTGTAGATGTCTGTGGGCTCCAGTAACGACTTAACACTAGGTGGGCTGTGACCTCGTCCACCCTTCCAAGCAATAAAAATGACTTTTTGCAAAATATAATTGTTTTTGGGAAAAACGGCAGAGGGCGCTATTACTTTTTTTTATTGCCCCTGTAGGCAGACGAGCATAGGGCCAACTGATGGTGAGTGGTTACCGTCGCCCATGAACTTCAACAATGCCAGGAGCAGAGCCAAGTCGCTGCCTACCGTTACTTGCTTGTGGGCGACTTGAATAAGGTTACTTTAAACTTGTTTGCCATTAGTACAAAACGGGTGAATGTACATTCACTCATTACATTTATCATCCATTAAGATAATCAACCTCTGGAATGAAATTGCGTTCAATAATCTTTTTTATTTCTTGAGCATGCTCATGGTCCACCTGGTGATAAGTAGTTACTGGATCCCATAGGCATCACGACATGTACGCAATCACAAAACTTAAGACATAATGTCTAAGTTTCAGTTGCACTTTCAAACTGAAAGTTATTTACAGCAGAAATAGAGAATAGGTGGTGTCTACCCATGGAGACTTAAAAGGTGTCCCTCCACCATTAATTAGAAAATTCAAAGTTTATGAAGTTTGCATTAACTTCCTGTAAATACTCGTAAAAGTTGACATGTGAGAGTTATTGGAGTTAGCAGTGATATTTTTAAGGTTAGGTACTGATAAACGGTATTATTGGATTATGTTGAAAAGAGTTTAAAAGTTTTATATAGTCCAGCAAATAAAAAAAATTACAGTCATATTTTCAGTCAACACAATTCAAACAGTCCACATGCAAATTCTAATTAAAATTTATAATAACAAGAAATAGGTTAAACAACTTACCCTTCTGTTTATCACAGTGAACTGTGTTTTCTTACAGTGCATACATATTGAGGCTTCATTGTCTGGTACCCAAACAGCTGCATGCTCTGAAGGAGGTTGCTTGCCACCTTATAAAGCAATATTTTAGTTACTGGTGGGTTGTTTAACAAACTTGCAGATATGCACCTGTATATTTCTACAGTTTAACAATCATACATTTCAGTTGAAAGGGAAAATCATACTTTTTTAAAACTCATCGGACTTTTTGCATTACACTTGTTACATAAGGACTCCATTCATTACAAAATAATATGAATAGAGGAATATTAGTAGTAGAAGAAAGTAAGTAAGAAAAGTACAATACAATGATCAATATAACATCTTTTTTTTCCTACCTATTTGCTGGTAGCCTAAAGGGCTATACGAACTACGTGCTGATGGTTATGTGAGCTCATAGTTTGCCAACACTAGCCCTAGAAATAGTGCTGTGTGGAGTCACCACCCGCTGAGGAGATCTGGTCAGAAACTCAGTAGGTTATGTCTATGGGTTAGTCACTCGTCAAATTCTTTTTTGTAATCAACAATTTATACGAGGACTGTAGCCGGTGCTTGAAGAGCCTAAAAGCACCGAGAGTTACGAAGATCCGACAACACAATCAGTCATTGTTCAATGTATGAGATACAAGACAAATTTTCTTACTTTTTCTTAATAAATCTTCTATACATTTTTCAATATGAGCCATCCATTCTTCTTTTTCTGTGGCTGTAGCAGCATACACAGCAAATGATTTGGATGCAGTACGGATTAACCATCCATTACGGTATTCTAAAAGAGTGTTACTTAGGTCAGAATACAAAATAACACTTTTCTTAATAATTATTATTTTGGTTTATTTCAATTTCAAACTGCAAATTCTGAAAGTTTATTCTTAGTTATTAAAATATCACCTAATGTAGACAAGTTTTCATCGAATTTATTTATATATTATTTAAAATTCCTTTCATGTTGCTGGAACTTTTGTAGACTACAGTATGCATGTGTGTTTGATATGTGTAACATTAATATCCTTCTGATAAAGTCAAAACACAATAAAAATCACACAAAACATATACAGAGGCTGACTCATCAACTTTAAAAGATCAATGTCAATAAACCAGCTAGAAATGATAATGATGAATGATTCACAACCTGGCCGTGTGTCATGCTTTTATTATGTAATCTTAAATACATTTTAATGTTTTACTGTGATTTTATTGAAATAAGTAACTTGTACAATTTCAACTCATTCAGATAATAATAACACCATAAAAGATATTAATTTCCATATTTTAGATTAATTAAACTGTTGGTTTGTTTATTTTATGTAAAAAATTATAAGCAATTTGTTTAATAATATAGTATCAACTTTTACTCTTATGGTAAATAAATTTAAATCCTTATTGGGTTTGCAGGGAGATATTTAATCCCAATGTCCAACAGTTTAGGCCAGATATTATCTGTTATACAACAACAAATAATGATAGTGTTTAACAGTTTTTACATGAACATTTTATTTTCATCAAGTTGTCGTGACCTAACGGATAAGACGTCCGATGCATTCGTGTTGAGCGATGCACCGATGTTCGAATCTCAGGCGGGTACCAATTTTTCTAATGGAATACGTACTCAACAATGTTCACGATTAACTTCCACGTGAAAGAATAACATCGTGTAATTAAAAATGAAACCCGCAAAATTATAATTTGCATAATTACTGGTGGTAGGACCTCTTATAACGCCCCTAGCTTGTTTTTAATACATCACACACTTTTTGCTCATAATATTGTTTTCTTTGGATTTCAATCCTTTTAGCAAGAAAGGTTAAATGTGAATCATTTGTGCATAATCCATTATGTACGGTTGGACAGATGCATTATATGAGAAAACTTCTATAATGGAAACAAATCATCTTATACTGTATTTACAAAAATGCAATAAGCCTGAATGTACATATTGTTAAAATCGAAGCATGTTTACTTTTCATGAGGTTTTTATGAGGCATTATTTGAATGCAAGCTTTAAAATCTCTGCTGAGAGGGTTTGGAGTTGAATTTAAAATATGTTCAATAAAGTATGAATATTGATTTTTTATGCCTTCATTTTTATTATACTAACAGTGGCACTTTTGGTTTAATTTTTGTCTAAATTATATTTTTTTTAAACAGATGTACTCACGTCCTTCATCTTTCAGTGACTCCAGCTTAACCTCCTCTAATGGAATGATATGTTGCTTGTTGTATTTTTTCTTGTTAATAACTATATTGCCATACACCAAAATGTCATTAAACAAAAAGAATTGTCGTGCCTTTGGTTTTTTCCTGCAAATTTTTGTCAAGACACCTTCACCGACAAGGACCCGCCCTTGCTCTGCTAGAGGCTAGAAACAAATAAATATATAGATTTTTTTTTTCAACTGCATCTTATATTTTAATTAATTCCTATGAACAGCAACATGTTTGTGAGATTTGATAACTTTAAATGATGAGGCTTTTAATCTATGACTTAACTATTGAAGTAATAACAGCATTAAATCACGTTAAAGTAGCATTCAAATTTATTTAATGTGGATTAGATGAGGGTACCCTGGATCACATTTTCTTCGACTGCCCCAATATCGTATCCCCTCTTTATGATATCCTTCCCAATGACATTCCCCGACCTATTAATATTAATTGTTTATTAACTTTAGTCTATTCTAAACATGTAAATATTCTGTGTAAATTTTTATCTGCTAATAATATTTATCTCTAAAGTAGTTAGTCTAACATATANCTATGGAATGAGCTCCCCTCCACGGTGTTTCCCGAGCGCTATGACATGTCCCTCTTCAAACGAGGCTTGTGGAGAGTATTAAGCGGTAGGCAGCGGCTTGGCTCTGCCCCTGGCATTGCTGAAGTCCATGGGCGACGGTAACCACTCACCATCAGGTGGGCCGTATGCTCGTCTGCCTACAAGGGCAATAAAAAAAAAATGAGTGTAGTTTAATAAGAAGTCCGGTGCATTCGTATCTAGCGATGCAACGGCGTTCGAATCCCGCAGGCGGGTACCGATTTTTCTAATGAAATACGTGCTCAGCAAATGTTCACGATTGACTTCCACGGTGAAGGAATAACACCGTGTAATAAAAATCAAACCCTCAAAATTATAATTTGCGTAATTATTGGTGGTAGGACCTGTTGTGGGTCCGCGCGGGTAGGTACCACCACCCTGCCTGTTTCTGCCGTGAAGCAGTAATGCGTTTCGGTTTGAAGGGTGGGGCAGCCGTTGCAACTATACTTGAGACCTTAGAACTTATATCTCAAGGTGGGTGGCGCATTTACGTTGTAGATGTCTGTGGGCTCCAGTAACGACTTAACACTAGGTGGATTGTGAGCTCGTCCACCCATCCAAGCAATAAAAAAAAAAATTGACTTTTTGTAAAATACAATTGATGTACAAAATAATGTGGCCTCTACAATTGTTTTTGGGAAAAACGGCAGAGGGCGCTATTACTTTTTTTTATTAACCCTGTAGGCAGACGAGCATAGGGGCAACTGATGGTGAGTGGTTACCGTCGCCCATGGACTTCAGCAATGCCAGGAGCAAAGCCAAGCCGCTGCCTACCGTTACTTGCTTGTGGGCGACTTGAATAAGGTTACTTTATTTTAATTAGGAACTTGTTTGCCATTAGTACAAAACGGGTGAATGTACATTCACTCATTACATTTCTCATCCATTAAGATAATCAACCTATGGAATGAAATTGCGTTCAATAATCTTTTTTATTTCTTACACATGTTTTTTATTTCTTGAGCATGCTCATGGTCCACCTGGTGATAAGTAGTTACTGGATCCCATAGACATCACGACACGTACGCAATCACACAACTTAAGACATAATTTCTAAGTTTCAGTTGCACTTTCAAACTGAAAGTTATTTACAGCAGAAATAGACAGGCGGTGGTGTCTACCCGTGGAGACTTAAAAGGTGTCCCTCCACCATTCATTAGAAAATTCAAAGTTTATGAAGTTTGCATTAACTTCCTGTAAATACTTGTAAAAGTTGACATGTGAGAGTTTTATTGGAGTTAGCAGTGATATTTTTAAGGTTAGGTACTGATAAACGGTATTATTGGATTATGTTGAAAAGAGTTTAAAAGTTTTATATAGTCCAGCAAATAAAAAAAAATACAGTCATATTTTCAGTCAACACAATTCAAACAGTCCACATGCAAATTCTAATTAAAATTTATAATAAGAAATAGGTTATACAACTTACCCTTCTGTTTATCACAGTGAACTGTGTTTTCTTACAGTGCATACATATTGAGGCTTCATTGTCTGGTACCCAAACAGCTGCATGCTCTGAAGGAGGTTGCTTGCCACCTTATAAAGCAATATTTTAGTTACTGGTGGGTTGTTTAACAAACTTGCAGATATGCACCTGTATATTTCTACAGTTCAACAATCATACATTTCAGTTGAAAGGGAAAATCATACTTTTTTAAAACACATCGGTCTTTTTGCATTACACTTGTTACATAAGGACTCCATTCATTACAAAATAATAAGAATAGAGGAATATTAGTAGTAGAAGAAAGTAAGTAAGAAAAGTACAATACAATGGTCAATATAACATCTTTTTTTTCCTACCTATTTGCTGGTAGCCTAAAGGGCTATACGACCTATGTGCGGAAGGTTATGTGAGCTCATAGTTTGCTAACACTAGCCCTAGAAATAGTGCTGTGTGGAGTCACCACCCACTGAGGAGATCTGGTCAGAAACTCAGTAGGTTATGTCTATGGGTTAGTCACTCGTCAAATTCTTTTTCGTAATCAACAATTTATACGAGGACTGTAGCCGGTGCTCGAAGAGCCTAAAAGCACCGAGAGTTACGAAGATCCGACAACACAATCAGTCATTGTTCAATGTATAAGATACAAGACAAATTTTCTTACTTTTTCTTAATAAATCTTCTATACATTTTTCAATATGAGCCATCCATTCTTCTTTTTCTGTGGCTGTAGCAGCATACACAGCAAATGATTTGGATGCAGTACGGATTAACCATCCATTACGGTATTCTAAAAGAGTGTTACTTAGGTCAGAATACAAAATAACACTTTTCTTAATAATTATTATTTTGGTTTATTTCAATTTCAAACAGCAAATTCTGAAAGTTTATTCCTAGTTATTATTTAGTTATTAAAATATCACCTAATGTAGACAAGTTTTCATCGAATTTATTTATATATTATTTAAAATTACTTTCATGTTGCTGGAACTTTTGTAGGCTACAGTACGCACTGTTTGATATGTGTAACATTAATATCCTTCTGATAAAGTCAAAACACAATAAAAATCACACAAAACATATACAGAGGCTGACTCATCAACTTTAAAAGATCAATGTCAATAAACCAGCTAGAAATGATAATGATGAATGATTCACAACCTGGCCGTGTGTCATGCTTTTATTATGTAATCTAATATACATTTTAATGTTTTACTGTGATTTTATTGAAATAAGTAACTTGTACAATTTCAACTCATTCAGATAATAATAACACCATAAAATATATTAATTTCCATATTTTAGATTAATTAGACTGTTGGTTGTGTTTATTTTATGTAAAAACTTATAAGCAATTTGTTTAATAATATAGTATCAACTTTTACTCTTATGGTAAATATAAATAAATTTAAATCCTTATTGGGTTTGTAGGGAGATATTTAATCCCAATGTCCAACAGTTTAGGCCAGATATTATCTGTTATACAACAACAAATAATGATAGTGTTTAACAGTTTTTACATGAACATTTTATTTTCATCAAGTCGTCATGGCCTAACGGATAAGACGTCCGATGCATTTGTGTTGAGCGATGCACCGATGTTCGAATCTCAGGCGGGTACCAATTTTTCTAATGAAATACGTACTCAACAATGTTCACGATTGACTTCCACGGTGAAGGAATAACATCGTGTAATTAAAAATGAAACACGCAAAATTATAATTTGCGTAATTACTAGTGGTAGGACCTCTTATAACGCTTCTAGCTTGTTTTTAATACAACACACACTTTGCTCATAATATTGTTTTCTTTGGATTTCAATCCTTTTAGCAAGAAAGGTTAAATGTGAATCATTTGTGCATAATCCATTATGTACGGTTGGACAGATGCATTACATGAGAAAACTTCTATAATGGAAGCAAATCATCTTATACTGTATTTACAAAAATGCAAAAAGCCTGAATGTACATATTGTTAAAATCGAAGCATGTTTACTTTTCATGAGGTTTTCATGAGGTATTATTTGAATGCAAGCTTTAAAATCTCTGGTGAGAGGGTTTGGAGTTGAATTTAAAATATGTTCAATAAAGTATGAATATTGATTTTTTATGCCTTCATTTTTATTATACTAACAGTGGCACTTTTGGTTTAATTTTTGTCTAAATTATATTTTTTTTAAACAGATGTACTCACGTCCTTCATCTTTCAGTGACTCCAGCTTAACCTCCTCTAATGGAATGATATGTTGCTTGTTGTATTTTTTCTTGTTAATAACTATATTGCCATACACCAAAATGTCATTAAACAAAAAGAATTGTCGTGCCTTTGGTTTTTTCCTGCAAATTTTTGTCAAGACACCTTCACCGACAAGGACCCGCCCCTGCTCTGCTAGAGGCTAGAAACAAATAAATATATAGATATATTTTTTTCAACTGCATCTTATAGTTTAATTTTGTTCCTATGGACAGCAACATGTTTGTGAGATTTGAAAACTTTAAATGATGAGGCTTTTAATCTATGACTTAACTATTGAAGTAATAACAGCATTAAATCACGTTAAAGTAGCATTCAAATTTATTTAACAATATAATTTTCTGTTTAATACCAATTTATTAACGGTTGTTAGTAAAACGAGTTGTTGATGTGTCAAAAAATGTGTGGTCAAAATAGAAAGTGTGCAGTAAATATTGTTGTTAACTTTACAAATATGAAACGCACAGTAATGATAAAAGAGTGATATCACCAATAATCACTACCTCCGACAATCCCACACAATGAGTTCAAGATTTTATCTCTTTAGTTTGTCGGGTGATAAAGCTATTGTCAAATTTTACTAGATGTTTGGATGTGGTATCGTACAACTTACTTGTCCCGAGCTGCCGAAGCAGCTCTCCACCATTGCAATTCTTCTTGCATTTGCTTCACTATTCACTGGAAAATGAAAAAATTGCTTATTTTAATATCTTGTTGGGCCCTGTATCAAACTGACGTCAAAGGAAAGTGGGCGCTCAAGCGATGACCAATAATTCATGTACTTATTTACATATCTGATAGTATTTCATTGGTAGGACAACTAATATAATTTATAGATTCAATGAATGTGAATGTCTACCTAAACGATCCACCATTATCGAAATTTATTTTTCTTAAAGACACAGAACAATTCGAGCGAATGTGTCACTTAGTAGGTAACAGTTTCAGCAAATGTTGTTTATTGGTGACGATGGTCTATGAATCTCACTACATCTCGGTGGTCTGTGAATTATGTACAGACTATTATGTTAGAAACGTGCATTGAAAAAGCAACAGAAATGTAGCCTATACAGACAAATTTTCAAAAGAAAATACGAGGGTGTGTTGTCGTAAGAAAAAAGAAATAGCACTGAAAAGGAAAATGAAAACAAATGATCAAATGCTAAAATTGTAACGGGGTGAGATGTGATGGCATTCTAAAACTATTTTTATTTTTTTAAATGATTGTAGGGTAAATGATCTCAGAGCTCACCTGGTGGCATTAAATGTTACCGGTGGCCTGGTGGTATTTAATGTTACTGTGGATACCGTCACCGAGACAAGAGTCTGAACTGTATTCCTACCTACTTCTTACAGTTCAAACCGCAATGGATCAACGTTTAAAGGCAGGAAATAGAGATACGATACGACGATTTCAAAGTTTATAGTCACGATTTTACTGATATACCTATAAGACATAGGTAGTGAGAGAGTCGTTGCCCTACATATGAATTTTATATTCTAAATATTAATTTAATGCATATTTTTTTAAGGGATTTTATGACCTGGTAACTAAGACCTTTAAGTCATGTCTTATTTTAATTTATATTCATATTTTTATGAAATTGATAGTGAAATGAAATGATAGTGTTATGATTAGCAGTGAAATGAAATGAAGATGATTAATTTGAGACATTAATCAACTGGGATGAAATTAAATGAGATGATATAGGATGAAATATAATCTCAGTAAAATGGTGATCATTTAGTAAGATTTTTACAGTGGACTTTTTGGAGGATCCCGAGAAGTTACGTCCAGCGGCTTTGTCTCATTTTCCGACATTTGTGCACTTTCACAGATAAATAATATTAATAAACCACCATTATTACACATTTAAACCTGAAGAAACACTAAATAGACAAAATAAAACTAATCACACAACTTCACTCCTCGCGTTCCCGCCAAAAAGTCCATTTAATGCATATAGTATTTTATAATCACAGACTATACATATCTACTAATATAGTGTTAAGAGGAGGCACAAGGTTTACAAGTGTCATAGACAATGCACGATCATGTGAGAATCCATTTTTAGTCCCTAGTTGACAGCTAGTGGTCGATATTTAGTATTAAAGATTTTAATTATTTAGCTCAAAAATTGTACAAAATGGGCTGCAAACTATGTGGACCAAAATTGTCGCTTTGTGGCCTAGTTTTGAGCGTATGGGGCATCATTCAGTTGGTGAGAATTCTTCAATCTTTCATTTGGAATCACAATCTAGTCAAGTTCGACATTACATTAACTATCTGATGTTTCAGACGTTGATGGGCGTCTTTTATTATATTCGAGCTGTCGCTCTGCTGGAGGATCTACCATTTGATGAGAAAAATCCGCCTCATTCTATCGAAGACTTCGTCATTGAAGTGGAAAAAGGATATACCCTGGTAAGACAATATTCTTGGATTCCCAAACATTATACCCAAAAATGATGTAAAGTATGTTATATTCAGAAGTTGCATTAACACTTTCTTGGTAAAAACCATTAATGCTCAAAATCAGGGTTGTGTATTACAATTTCCTCTTAAAAAGTATCAAGTAGTAGATGATTTTTTCTTTATTGCTATTCCTGGGGAATGAGCCAATGACTCTCGTGATTGTAAGTTGTTACAATCACTAGTGGAGCAATACTCCCAGACGAGCCGTCTGTGTTTATACAGTATCTGTGGGTAAGACTGACTTAAATTTCAATTTCTTAAAGTTATGTTCCTCTTTATATTGTTAAACAGAATGATATTTTTTATGTAACCTAAATATAACATTTTAGTATTAGTATTTGACATACAAACATTGTTATTTTCAGAATGCACAAAATTGTTGGATTGCGGCATTGTTGTACTTGATTACACTGGTTGTGTCTGGACATCAATTTTGGCTGAATAATCGTTCCTCAGTTAGTATGTAATATTGAAGGAGTTGTTATTTTTGCTGTTAATTCCATTCCATTATAAAATTGTTTTTTCTTTTGCCAGAAACAGGTTGCTATATGTAATTATGTCTGTAATTAAGTTGTGTTTCTATCAATTGACAATATAGGTAAACATAGCTAGCTACATATTACTCAAACTATTAAAACATCGTCATCGTCAGCCTGTATCTCTCCACTGCTGGATGTAAACCTCTCCCATAGTCCGCCACAATGAACGATCCTCTACCTTTCGCATCCAATTTTTTCCAGCATATTGCCACAAGTCATCAGCCCACTTATGAAACAAACTTTTTTAATTATTTTAAAATTATTTTTGAAATTGGAATGAATTATCTACTTCAATTTAGATGATTGGAATAGTAACAATAAAAAATATTATATGCTGTTTAATTTTGTGTAAAAATACATGAATTGTTAAAATAAGTATAAGTATTACTTCCACACATGAGTCGTCTATTATCAAAGGTGGCAATCTGTATATTTGGACAAAACATTTTTATTGATATGTCAATACAGATTTATTTGAATATAATCGTCTCCTTCAAAGAATACGGTTCAAAACCTGCATTAAATAAAAGTTAATAGTTAACCTGTTATTTATCTAAGATGTCGTTCCGAAGAGTTTTATAACTGCCAATGGAATACAAAGTCAATAATTCGTTTTTCTGATTTACCAATCATTGTCCAAAAGTCAGATTGCCGCCTTTGATAATAGTCGACTCACATATAATACTGTACATAAGAAACTAATTGTAGGTACATTGTCTAATGCTTAGATTTTCTTCAAATAAAGATATTTAATGTTTGATTATTGTTTGATTCACATTTTCACGCTTTATGGTCTCAGTGCGTCCTATGATGAGTGAAGATTGCTTAAAATTGGACGGAGCAGTTTGTTGAAGATTGGCAAGTAACATAGAAATAAACAACACCTTTTGTTTGATTAGACTACTGGATGGGCAAAGTGAATGTGTCAAATCTTTTGTAGCAAAGGCCAAAACAATGCCTTGTATAATAAATTAAATGGAACTTAAATAGTGTGAAATGTAACAGACTATGAAACTAAATGGTGTCAAATGGTATTTTTGAACAAATCCAAGAAGACAAACATCCTTTCTTTTTTTTTTTTTACTCTTGTAATTTAAAGGTGCTAAACTGTAACATGTCAAGTCTTAATAAACGCTCAATAATAAAATAAAGGTTTTCCCTGCACTCTCGTTGGAACGATGAGCCCCGCGTAAAGACAATCGGCGGAAGGTAGGAGTGGTTACAGTGGTCAACAACCCAATGTGCGGCTTAGTCCAAAGACGCTCTAAGCGAATCACTGTCAGGGCCGGCGGCCAGTCAGGCCACTCACGCGATGCCACTTATTTTCATAATAATTTGGGAAAACCAGACTTTAATACAATTTTTCCATAAAAAGATGAACGAGCTTACGGCTCGCCCGCTGTTAAATGGCTAATGGAGCCCATAGACATCGCAACATGAATGCAGCCAGCCGTGTGGAGGAGACATCTAAGTCAAAATGCTATTGCAGGTGTAATAAAAATCAAATCCGCAAAATTATAATTTGCGTAATTACTGGTGGTAGGACCTCTTGTGAGTTCGCACGGGTAGGTACCACCAACCTGGCTATTTCTGTTGAGAAGCAGTAATGCGTTTCGGTTTGAAGGGCGGGGCAGCCGTTGTAACTATAGTGAGACCTTAGAACTATATCACAAGGTGGATGGTGCATTTACGTTGTAAATGTCTATTGGCTCCAGTAACCACTTAACACCAGGTGGGCTGTGAACTCGTCCATCCTTCTAAGCAAAAAAATGAAATAAAAAAGGTAAAAGGCTCTCATGTTTCAATTGGATCATATGACTGTCTTTTCATATCAATATTAAACAGACAAGTCAAGATGTAAATACATAGCAATGCATGTTGTTTGGTAATCCATATCGGGTAAGTGAAAGGCTAATTGATTTGAGCAACATTTTTGCAATTTTACAGAAGAGCCATTTAAACTTTAAAATTTGAAAAAAATATCTTAACAAAAAAACTTCTTCAGTTATTTGAATGGAGTAAAATTAATTGAAGTTCAATCAAAACATCGAACTCTTGATGCTAATACCAAATAAAACGCATCTTTAATAACAAAAATAAATGTCGCTTAAACCAGATAGCTTTTTACTTCTCTTTAACGAATCGTAAGATCTATAGCCAACTTGTGTATTTGGCCTCAAATGGTGGTAATGGTGACCTTAGAACTATATCTCAAGGTGTGTGGCGCATTTACTTTGTAGATGTCTATGGGCTCCAGTAACCACTTAACACCAGGTGGGCTGTGAGCTCGTCCACACATCTAAGCAATAAAAAAAAAATGACGTCAATGAATCCACAATTTAAAAAGTTGGCTCAATATCATTTCATACTTCAATGCTCAATATTAATTCTTTTTGGTCAATGTGACGGTGACAGTGGCGTGGTGTCTTTGTTGAAATAAGTAATACGTAATGGTTTTCTCCTATAATTGTGCAAATTGCTGTATGATTATTAGCGTCTGGGGGACTATACAGCTGGTAATCAAATTTACAATATTTTAGTATCTATCAAATTTTATCAGATTATGGTAGTTCATATACATATAGGTAGGTATAGGTATATAGGTAGGTAATAGAGGTACTACACAATGGGCCATCGCGATGGACCACTATGGTGGGCCAGGGTGTGGAGTGCGTAGTGGTGTCGCATGGCTTATGGCGCGTGCTATGGTCGAGGGGTGGCGTGATGTGAGTTTTTTGGTCTAACATCAAAGGTAGTTGGCCAGCGACGGCGGTACACATTTACACGTAGCCCATTATCTAATGCGTGCTCGAACGCGGTTAAGTGTGGATTTTCGTGTTTTATTTATTTTACAAATTTTATTAAAAATGTCGAATACATTAATGCAGTTTTAAAATTTTTGAACTATATATATAGGTATCTCACTATAACTATATAACTTCAAGCCGCCCGATTAATTGAAATTTGCACAATAAGAATTATCAAAGATCGATGACAATGAAGCTATTTTACAACTTTGACCTCAAATCCTAGAACTAGAATCGTCCGGTGAAACACATATTTTTTATTTTGGTTGCCTTAAAATCTAATTTTGAAGCTACTTATTGCTATTTTAATTTCAACATTTATTAATACTAAGAAAAAGGCGATCGTGGAATTATAAACGTGAAAGATGTTTAAACCTGAAAACTAGCCTTGATACTTTTCGTCTGCACTTATAAAAACTTAATTCAATGTATAATAATATGAAATGATTTAATACAACAGATAATTATGGGAACATTGTACAAAAAGGAAATGTTAACATTGCTTGACGACGTGGAAGCTGAGGAGTACCGTAATTATGAGGACTTCATAAAAAAGACACATGAAAATTATCAAAAGGTTTGATATTGCATTTTGGGCGAAATGATTCATGAATAGTGATAACGTAACCATTCATACCCGATCCTGTGGATTGAGTGGTAAACAGTTGACGTCGCCCTAAGCACGTCATTACGGATCTTCCCGATCCATTAACGGTGTTTTTAGGTACCTCAAGCACCGTTCACCCTCCTCGCCGAACCCGTCGCTTGTGACGAAGGGCTCGACGTGTAAATTAACCCATAGACATAGCCCACTGAGTTTCTCGCCAGGTCTTCTCAGTGGGTCGCGTTTCCGATCCGGTGGTAGATTCTGCAAACCACTACTCTTGCTAGGGCCAGTGTTAGCAACACTCCCGGTGTGAGCCCCGTAAGCTCATCTACACGTCAAGGCGAAGCTGAAATAGCCTCTCAAGGCTATCAGCATAGGTAGGGGAAAAAAAGTAACCATAATCGAGGTTTGGGCCGTCCACCCAGAAGGGCACCTGATCATTTCATTAACACCGCGAAAACGTCATGGATATGGGCTGCTTTCTTGCGGTGTTGTCGCAGAAATCTATAAGTATTTAGCAGCAGTAGACGGTTGCAATAATATTGATGATAATTTAATTCTAAAATTTGAACCAAAACATTTTTAACTCATTTTAGTTTGCCACATAAATGTGTAACGGGCAACTAAATATCATTCACTATACCTACGTTTCATCACGACGAGTATCTTGATGGAGCAGCAGTGTAGGTACTCTTTCCTAGACACAAGGTCAAAGTCTCAATTGAAGCGATAACGGCTCGTGAAATTTGGGATATATAGCTGATGCGTTTTCATCTTACGATGTCTTAGTTTTATAGTAAATTTAAGTAATATGGTGTTGTGTTATACCTACTGTACCCACTAAGATGATTTCGATAAAGAGGTGATCTTTTTTTTTATAGTATAGCGGTTTGTAGTATAATATTCTCATAATACCAGTCATCAATGATAAGCACGCCATAACTAAAAGCTGAAAAATGCATATAAGTGATACACCGATCCAAGTCACTTGCATTCCTGTAATTCCTGGCAATCCTCTCAATACATATGGCGCATGTTACGAATAGATTCTTTGATCCACAATTTCCGCAATTTATCTATTGACCAACGAATATTGCTTACATGCTTTGCATCTTCATCACCTACAGTCTCTAGTCTCAATAGTTGTATTCGTTACTTGTGGCGGTAGCTCCTGCCAAAAAAAAACCCCAGAACACAAAACGGTTGAAAGATGCTTGAATCTCGCTAACGTCATTAAGATAAGCTTGCAAATATACAAGTTCCGAACTATACAAGGACAGTCGGACTACCAAGCAATGTCACTCGCTCGGTACAATATCTTCCCTTTATCGTTGACCCCTAAATTATTGTAACATAAAATCTGCTAAAATTGTCTGTTATTTTTTAGGTAGCCAGAAATTGTTGGATTGCCGCTTCTATTTATTTCGTGGTGTTTATCATATCCTACATATGTGTTAAAAAAACGAAAAAAATTAAGATTAAGACCGCTCTCGAATTGGAAGATGATGAAATCAGTTGTCGATCACCGACCGCTATGCAACGACGCTGAAAATTAGTAATCTTACCAAACTTATTTAAATTCAGTACCTATCTGAAATTAAACCTATCAGAAATAGAAATAAATTTACCTACGACACTACCTTCATAGGTATATAATAAACTTATGTTTTTCGGGTATATCAATGTAATGAAGTGCTTCTCAATACAGAAACTATTAATTAATCCTTAGTGTATAATGGCTTGGACATTATTTTGCTTAGCTGTTGGTAAATGTTAAATAACGCTACCATTTAGACTTAGTTATTGTAGCAGAACGATTTATATAGCCAGAATAGCCAATTTTATATTTTAATTATCCTTTAAATAAAAGATAAGTCTTTGTAAACTGTCTTTATTTTGGTTTCAAAACTTATTTAACTTCTTCTAATTTTCTATCGTACGTTACGGTTCCGATGTTGACACTTTTTATCTCTTCTTTGCTGGTTTTCGCGTGTTCCTGTTGAATTTGAATAAAATTATTCTATGATGCACTATGAATACTCCTCAGTTAACTTGAAAGCACAATGCGACCGATCTGAAACATCCAATTCGGGTCTCAAATTCTCGGTACACATACAATATACGTATGTAGGCATTGTGTATACCTCACATATCAATGCTGAAGGTGCTATGCTAGGAATGATTATGATAGTTATGCATACCTACCTAAAATATATATATTTAAAAATACAGGTACCTATTAAATATGATTACGATGGTTTATGGATTTTTTCTTATTTAGTTTTAGTAGTAAAAAAATATTCAACTTTACTTGTAAATCCGTTTCGTCATGTTTAGATTGCTGGTTGGGGTTGAGCCATGGATCCGCTAGAATCTGAGGGATCTTTACTCGCATTTTTAATGGGGCTAGTATCCTAGTTATAAGTTTCCTACACTCCGCAGACACTTTAGGTTCACGGGGAAATGATACTTTATTTTGAACTTGCTGTAAATTACAATATTAATAATTGATGAAATGCTACTTTTACCCACACACAGACATTAATTTCAGCATTATCAAAACCTTTCAGTGCGAGACATAACTACTATTTGTACTTTAGTGTAGCCAGGCGCATTTTATCTCTGTGTGTGTCTATAAAATAAATTTTTGATACTTTAATCATAAATTTATTGTAATTGAATACTAAACTGCCTTTTCGTTCATTCTTTGCTGACCTTCTCTTTAGAAAGGGCGTTGTGCTATTTTTTTCAACGAAAACTGACGAGCTAAGTAGGTACTATTCAAACGTTAAATGGTATCTATTAGCTAATTGGCCGAAAAAATTAAGCCATTTAATTTGCGGTAGGTACCTATTTCGATTACTTAAGATGACACACGCAGTTAAAATATACCGACAAAATTAATTATGAACCAATTTGTTCTGTTTCGATAGATTCCTATCGTTGGCATCTATGTCTACCAGTGCTAAAATTCTGAGTGGGTAAAATAGCTATACGCGGTCGGTGAAACTTTAGCAGGAAAGGTTAAAATATTACATTCCAATAATTAGAACCTTGAGTAATTGTGTGTAATTGGTGTCGTCGAACGGGAGACGTCCGTAGACGATGGCATATAATACTACTCCCATACTCCAAACATCAGAATCCTGTGGCCTGTACGGAACGCCTTTTAAAATTTCGGGTGACGCATATGCGTAACTCCCACAAAATGTCTCGCTTAAGGCGAAAACTCCGTTTTTCGGCTTCATATGCCCTCGAGCAAAGCCAAAATCGGAAAGTTTTATGTTCAAGCCGTGATCCATCAGGAGATTTTCGCATTTGATGTCCCTGGATAGATAAGTAGGATCAATATACTTTCAATGTATTACATATCTAAATCTACAAAATAAAACTACACTGCAGATTGTTTAGCTACATATTATCGATAAATTTGAATAGGCTTTAAGCTCTCAATATGTTAACATCAAGAATATTGAGATAGGCAGAGCTCTGCTTTATATAATACCCACCTAAAATAAATATCTTTTTAAATTTCTCTTTAGATACCTGTGAACAACACCGCGTTCGTGACAGTAATCGACAGCTTCGACCAGCTGCTTGAACCAGCGACGTCCACGGGTCTCATCGATGTGCTGGTCTTTTCGTATAATGTCTAACAGGCTCCCGTTCTCGGCGTATTCCATTACTATGTAAACTCTGTGCGCCATAAATACAAAAAAAAAAAAAAACTTTTTTAAACAATCTCAGCTACACGCTCAATATTCAATCAGCGATTGTATTTATAAGTATCGATTAGGATATCACGAATTTTTAGACTTCACAAATAAATGAGTGTTTATTCCGTTTTACGGGTTACGAGTTACGGTTACGAGTAGGAAATTTCATTTGAAATATGTAGTCTATTGTTTGATTAGTCTGGTCCTTAAAAATCACTAGTTATGTTTTGGAATTTTGGATAATTTTGGTTGTGTAGAGTGATATAGGATAACACTCGTATTCTACCTCTTCTGTGGGTGTCGGAAAAAACAATTTCACCAGAGAACGGACGACAACGTTCTCCGATTATTAAATCAGCGTACTGCGATAAATAATCGAGTTTACTGGTGGTAGAGCTTATTGTAACTTGGCATGAGTAAGTATTATGATCTTGTCTATTTCGACCGCAAAGCAATCACGCATTGCGGCTTGAAGGATGTGATAGCTGTAACGAGAGATGTTATACAATAGAACCGAGACTACATTCTCATGTGTCAAGGTGTGTGGTAGCAATCACATTGTTACGTCTATGGACTCCAGTAAACGATTTCAATCAGGGCCATATGCTTATTCTCTCAATAAAAAAAGAATTAGGAAATTTTTAAATATTTTTTACCTATGTGTGGTTTCTATTGCTTGAAGAAAACGTATTAAATTTTCATGCTTTAAGCCTTTAACTACTTCGATTTCTCTAGGTAAGAACTTTTTTAAATAATCACCAGGGGCTTGAAATTTACTGATTATTTTAATAGCAACTTGACAATTATGTCTGTCGCTAGAGGCCACCTGAAAGAAAATTTGTGCTCATTTATCTTTTTACAAAACAGCTCTTTTTGTATTGATGATGTACCTTAACAGTTGCATAGGAACCGGACCCAATTGTTCTGCCAAGCATGTAACCGTGGCTTTCAAGAACCGTCAGTTTCCTTTCAGTTTTGGCTTCCACACCGCTATGTACCGTAGCCGTAGGCTCTGCTGACATCTCGCCGAGAACATTGTCATGAGTGCGAACATCTGGACCCGGCATATCATTAAAATAAATATTATTATGATTTGACTATATGAGGATTCATTCTAAAAATGTTTACATATTTAAATTTAAGTTTTTTTTTGGAATTTTTTTCATGATGTCGTTTTGTGAAAGTCAAAGGTGAAAGTCACATTATTTGACTAATATTGATGACACAAGCTTTTTCGAAATTATTGTCAATCTTATTATTATGATATAGCAAAAAGTTTAACACCTTTTGTTCATTCTTTTCTGCACAAGTCAGCAAGTGTGCTTAATAATAAATACCTGTATGTACTTGTATTTTTGTGAGAAAAGGAGTGGTTTTGTCAACCGATTGACATTGACAACCAGTTATTGTCAGTTTCACTTGTCACTTTCACTAATTTAAATATGGCGGAATAACAACAACAAAAACACGAGGAACTGTGATATTATTGAAATTCAAAAGTTTATAATTTGTTAAAAAAATAATTGTCGTATTTTGATAAAAGTTTTAACGGACATTTATAATATTGTGGTGTTTCGGGTGCTGTGAAAAACATACTTAACAAGTTTTTGCATTTTAATATGAACTGTTAGTCTAAAACACACTGTAACATCATTTAATACGGTAATAAATCAATGATAAATCTTTTTTGTGTTTTGCCTGATATAGTGCATGACCACAAGGCTTAGTAATTAAAAAAGTTAGAATTGTTTGTCTTTTTTGTCTGCACATTGAATTATGCTTCTTTAAATTCTGGGCATAAAATATAAATTCGAAAAATTTCATCAACGAGACAAAATTAACAAGAGCATATTAGAATATATGTAATTATTTGTGTGTTCTTAGATGAAAAGTTTTAGACAAAAAAATATTTGACATGGGTGCCGTTTTTTGTTTTTATGAAGCCGCTGGATATGTACTTTTAAATTTACTAAGTATTATTAGGCTATTGCTATTTTTTTGGAAACTCGCTATTTTATTGAAAACTCATTTATGGAAACATAATTGCAGTAAAAATTCAAATTTTGAAATTAAATAAGATTTAAAAAAATAGTAAACGTGATAGAAAAGATAAAGTACAGATCAAAATTATAAACTTTCAAGGGAATATAACACTTAACATCTGATAATGTACTTATGCTTTATGGTGTATAACATAATTAAATTTTACAATTCTGATTGTTAATTCCCAGCTAATTGGATGATAATATGAAATAAAGCTGATTTGATTTGATACAAGCTCTTTCTCCAATTGTAGCTGAGGTACTAAAAGATAACATAAATAATTTTGCCCACATCTAACTAGACTAAGTAGAATTGGCACAACTAATATCTATGGCACACTTACATTTGGCACATATTTTCAAAATTGCTACTTCCAACTTGACCATTGGATTCAAAATCAAGGATTATTTTTTGTTGTTTTATATGAGCTGAGTTTACAACCTACTTAGTGTAAAGTAGACAGCTAAACATAAACATCATAATCCTAAATTCACAGAAAATGAGAAAGCAGTAGTGATGAGCTGGAGACAAAGGCCCGTTTTGTCGTGAGATCCTTCAACAGCAAAATCAGTACCTAACAAGACTTACAAATGAAGGATAGCTCTTAGTCTAAATACTTTTTGCTACTTCTCTTCATGATTATTATATGGATATTAATATTATTTATCAAATGATTATGATATGAAGTGTAAGTGAATAAGTTTTTTGAGTAAATGTGCATACAACAGGATAATTATTACTCATTGATCTTTGAAATGTTACTTATTAGTCTGCTCTGGTAATATGAATTCTATATTCACCTGTCTCATAATTAAAATGTATAGAGATCATTATAATGGCACATTTATTTGCTGGTGGTAAGATGTCTTGTGAGCCTGTACAGGGAAAATAACTATGGTTTTATATTTTTTTGTGGAAAGTGTACCCACACTGTCACAGTGGCAAAACTTGTCGGGGACCTATTTCCATCGGTGGATGTCTGATTATGATGAATGTTTTGTTCAACTACTGTAAGCTCTAAACTTTAATGATTTCAGACCCCCCACTTCTGCCTCTTTTGTAAGAGATAATAAGTACACTATACCACCCAAATGATATAAAATAAGATTTTATTTCCATAGTTAATTGTGTAATAATAAAATACAATACAATGTATGTACTCGTTTTAAGTATTATGCATGGGGAATTTCCCGAATCGAGCGTCGCTTGATGTACGAAGTCCAAATATACTACTAAGAATATATTAAATGTCAATTCTCAGAAATCATTTATTTCAAATAAAAATTATAAGGATTCCAATAAAATATATAAAGGAAATTTGTTACGATAAAAGTAGGAATCGAGAAAAAAAAACGTATAAACCATCATATAAAAAAAGGGGAAAACCTTACACGCGTTAGAAGTGAAGCCTTTAGAAGTATTCAATCTCATTCCCTCACAGGTTCGTAGTTCGTATAGATTTTTAAGTTTATATCTTTTTAGTGTCGCTTTTTTGAATATAATTTTCGTTGTGTTAAGACGTAAATGACAATGATGCTACTGAACATTTCAATTCAAATTTTAAATTTACGTTAGGGTAAGAATATTTCGCTTTTCTTGTTTAAAGTTTTCAAATTACATTCATTTTTAACTTCATATTCTGAATGTTCGTCAACAGGAGGAGGGAATAATAATGTAGATCGAGACTGAACGAACGGTCATGCGAATCGTATCGAATACGCGACGTTTTGTCCACCTGTGTTAGTCGCCATTGGAATAGACCTTCAAGTTACGCGATAACAGTCCCATGATACGTACATTTCGAGAGATCTCGTTAGACTGGCCACACGCGATACTTCATTCGATGACCCATTTTTCGTACATCAACGTCGTTTTTTGTTTGCTTCCAGAGTGCTTTTTTCTAGTGGATATTCGTCGCTTTTGTTGCCATAATTGCGTATTCTCTTTACCGGACTTTATTTCGAATGCTAAAAGCTTATTGCGATTGTTTCGGATTTGAAGAGTTTTATGCCTTTTATATCTGAATAATACAAAAAAAATCTTTTATTTTTGATTTAAAAAATATTAAATTATAGGACAAAATTTTCTAAGAAGCAGAATCTCTCTTAAATATTGTCCATTGTTCATATAGATTGGAATAAGATATACAGTTGGATACAAATTTTCTTAATAACACCACTTTCACATCACTCATCAAGTGGCAAGAATGCATTCCTTATTTAATTAAACGATAGGACTTTCATTGAAACGGTATCTTTTAGTGGTATGAGAGTTCCCAGCCGATTTGTCAATTTCATTCTCCCAGTTGAAATATCGTGAGAGTTAGGAAACTCTTACCTTTTAATATTTAAAAGACAAGCCCATGTTTACCGACCTTACACTTTTTTTGTTAAAAAAACGTGTGGCACTCGGGAACTGCCGCGGTAAAGCTATTGCATAGCATTTTTTATCAACTTATGCAATTATAATTAGACAATGATAATTTAATATTAAAACAATAAAACAAGACCACGCTATATTAAACATTAATAAAAGCAAAACATTAACTGTCCCCTTCACACTCATAAGCTAGACTGCGCGAGAGAGAGATGGGCAGACTTTTCATGATGCGCATGCAGTGTGACGTCACGCCACGCGCTTATTCACAAACACTACATAAGCGCAACGTATGAATGTGTTGAACGCGAGCTACATGGTAGGCGGAGTGATTGGTGTTAGGTTTTTTTCGTTACGGAATTTCATGATTCGGTCGCCGCGCTCAAGGCCCGCGATAAAAGTTTTTTTATTGCTTAGATGTGTGGACGAGCTCACAGCCCACCTGGTGTTAAGTGGTTACTGGAGCACATAGACATCTACAACGTAAATGCGCCACACACCTTGAGATATAGTTCTAAGGTCTCAGTATAGTCACAACGGCTGCCCCGCCCTTCAAACCGAAACGCATTACTGCTTCACGGCAGAAATAGGCGGGGCGGTGGTACCTACCCGTGCGATATGATATTCGATAGCTTATAAATCGGTCTTATTATCTTTAGCATTGCAACGAGTTCAGTGTCTAGTAGCAGTTTTGAAGTTTCAGCATTATTGAAAAGGTATAAACGAAACATTTTGAGAAGGTTTTATACGGTTGGCAGCGCTCATAGAAACCCCAGCTTGTATAATACACTAAAGAAAGATATGAGGTTAAGACAAATGAAGTTAAAATCTCAATCGTAACGAAATAATCCGTGTCCGAATTGCTTGATGACTACAATGTCTACTCTACAGTATAATTACGTCTGGTTCTAACTCGGTGACGTTTGTAAACAATTCTCCAGTTGTCCTATTAAACAATTAAGAGTTGGTTTCGTACTCCAGAAGTTGGCTTGCGAGACGATACACTGCAGACTTGATTACTTTTCTGAACCAGCAACTAATTAAAGTTCAGTCAAAACAGTAGGTAACTAATTTTCCGCGGCTTATGGCGATGTATAATTAAAAAAATATAAATTAGAGTATATTTTGTAGTAATTAAAATATTTGATAAGCACATTATGTAATTTTCGCTAGTCTACTTGAAGAGTCTTCATTTATATCTGATATTTCGTTGGTTTCATAAAAAATAATTAAGTTGCATGGAGTAATCTAGAAATATCAACATCTAATAATAATAACTGAACTAACAGTTAATTAAATTTTTTCTTTATCTGGTTTGGTAATAGTGGTCCAAATATTAGAGCGAAGTTATAAAATGGTTGTACTGTCATTAGTCATTGATGCTTGTGCATATTTTAAAATTAAGTCGACCTCTTGAAGTTGGTGATAATGACGTTCAAAGATTCTGTTACATAGAAATAAACATAGATGCACTCCCAGTTGATAAAAGCTTGCTAAAAACCACGACTTTACCTATAAAAAAACTGAAAGTATTAACAACAACGTCCAATGCGTTTCACTAATATGTTGCATACAAGTGATTTGTGAATAATATAAAGATTTTCAGTACTTTACTCACCATTTTCATTTATATTAGATCGAATAGGTA